AAGGTAGATTGTGTGCCTTGCATTGCTCATTGTAGTTCGACGATGTGAGTGATGGTGATGTAGTTGTTCACGCCGTTGTTGTCATCGAAGACTGGAGATAAAATGCTTTGCCTATCCATCACAAGACCGGAGCAAATGTGAGTGGAAGAAAGGAAAGAACTAGACAAATGTACCTTATCCAATGTTGAAAATGGATCAATGATCACTCAATAGTGTAGCAAGGAATTAGCACAATTGGTATCGGATCTTGTCAATTCTCACACCTACACAAGTAAAGCTTATGGAGTAGCTTGGTGAGGATAGTGGCACAAAAATTTGATGCAAAATGTTAGCAAGAGTCAATAATGTTGAAATAGATTCACAAATTAGCAACTGAAACAAGTAGACCAATAGAAATATGGCAAACAGAGACACATACACGGATAGATATATGGAGTCATGCAACCAAGGAGTGAGCACAAATTTTGGAATCCACGGAAAACGCTCGTGTTGCACAATTCAAGAGAGACACTAGCATGATATTGCTCAATAGGCGGATACGACACTTGTGCACAACCTATAAGATGCAAAATGTATCAAATTTTGTATCCCAAGTATGCTATATGTATGATGTTCTGGTGTCTCTCTCAATTTGATCCAAGATGGTCGGATATGACAATGTTATATGCAATGTGGTATGATGCTATGGCTATTGCTTACAAGCTCTTAGTTCACTCTTTTGCTTAAAAGCTTATTCTTTTTTTTTGTTATGACCACTATGCGAAATGCACAAACCAAGATAGCAGTTGTGTATATGCGGGAACAATCTTGTGACACAAGATATGATATGATGATTCCTTGATGAGGATACCAAGATGATATGGTATGTATGCAGTGGAAGGTGTAGATCGATGATCACTAATGTGCACAAGTAACATTGCCGGCAATACTCAATGGCTAGTCTCGATAGGCAAGTGGCTCAAAATGGGCTAGGGGTTATCAATACTATGGCAATAAGAATGTAAAATGATGGGATACCACGATACCAAGATGATATAGAGGTTACCGTTCTTGCATATGGTTAGGGTGTCAAAATGGTGAAGGTGCCGATGTCGAATCCTTGGCGAAGTTGAGCGGCGGTGTTGTCGACGTTGAGCCGTTCCTAGTTAGCTGAAACACCCTAGGAAACGGAAAACCCGCAAACTCAAAATCACCAAAGACAAATGTCAAATGGTGGTAGCGGAAAGCGGTGGTGGTTTTGTGGAGGCTCAAAGGAATTGCAGAAGTGCAATGATGGGTTATGCGAGTCAGAGTTGAAGTCACTGTCCCTAATTAGCCGAAACACCTTAGGAGACACAACCCACAACTCAAACAAGCTCAAATAAAATTGGGTTAAGTTTAGGCGGCGGAAGTGTATGGTGGGCAAGCTTATGCGGAAGTTATGGTGGTGGTTGATGAAGAAGTAACCGTCCTTAAGTAGCCGAAACACCTTAGGAGATTGGAATCACTACTCAAGCAACCACCAATGCTATGGGGAACAAAATGGGTTAGGTTGCGGAAGTCGATGGTAGTATAGGGGATGATGTGGTGAAGGCCCTAGGCAAAGATGCCAAAGTTCCAAAAATTGATGAAGTCAAATGATGGTGGTTGTATTTTTGTGTGAAGGGGGTGTCAATAGCTTTAAAACGAGCTAAAGAACGTCAAAATCCAAGTCCGGAATTAGTTATGGCCGAAACAAAAACCAGCTGAAATCAATATCTACATGTAACAGACGTCTGGTAAGTGTCGGATGTCCGGTGGACGGACGTAGGTCAGGAAATCCGTTAATTTCGGTTCTGTTTGGTGGCACCGGTCATCCGGAAGGTGTCGGTCGTCCTGTGCTTCATGAGGGTCCGGACGTCCGGTAAACGTCGGTCGTCCGGTGGGTCGGGGTCAACTCGAGATTCAAGATTCGGGACACAATTTTGCGAGGAAATTGAAGATTTTGGGGTCAAAATTGAGGAGATTTCGTGGATGGAAAGTGGGGAAACTTGTGGAAGCTATATCCACTCAAAACACTATCAATCCATGGATCAAAATCAACAAAACATCATCAAACCAACAAATCGCAAAAAAATGGGGCTATTTTTGGTGGGGATTTTTGAAATTGGGGAATAACACAACAAAATTAGGCTAGAAAATGGGGGTAGGGACTCCAAATTCATGATCAACCATGGCTCATGATACCAAGATGATGTAGGGTGGAACCCTAGGGGCCGATCTTTCACAATTTGGAGGGGGATTCCTGAAGAACACACAAGAACACACAAGAGGAAAACACTCAAATTGACTTGATCCAATCACGCATATGCTAGATGCAAACACACAAACATACATACAAAGGTACAAATGCAAAAAAGGGGGATACACGAGGTAACTAGTTCATCTCCATGAAGGAGGCCTTGAATCCATGGAGGATCTTCCCTAGATGGGGTCTTGAATCCACTAGGGATCTTCTCACATGGAGGTCTTGAACTCCATGGGAGTGATCTCTCTCTCTCTCTCAAGGGGAGGAGTGGTAGAGGAGCAAAGCTCATATACAAATGAGCTATCACTTTGCTAACAAATGGTGGAGGTGGAGGAGTATATATAGTCTAGGGCCACGAAGGGGTAAGTGAGGGGCGAAACGGGTACATGGGCCTTGGCCCGAGTCTTTGCACGCGGGCAGGTACCGGACGTCCGGTGGGTAACGGTCGTCCGTTGGCTCGTGGGCGTCCGGATGTCCGGAAGTCTTCGGACTTCCGACGTTTCTTCTCTAGACATGTGGCACCGGATATCCGGACGCTGTCGGTCATCTGCTGGCTGACGAGTGTCAGACGTCCGGCGTCTGGCGGCTGTCCGGGCGTTGTAGGGTGCGTCGGCTGTAGTTGTCTTGGGTGGCTGGACCTCTAGGCGTCGGACGTCCGGTACGGACCGGTCGTCCGGTGGTTGTGACTTGCAGTCAGCTCTTTCTCTTGTTCCTCGCGCTTGGTGTTCTTGCCATCTTGTCCAATGCTCCTAGATGTTCCATGGTCTTCCTCTTGGTTCCTGGTCATGCATTGCACATATGTTTGAGGTAGTAGCCATATCTCACATGTGGAAAGTGACGGTTCGGAGAGGAGCGAGTTCAGCTTGTGTCCAATGGCGTATGGTCGAGGTCTCATTGTATGTCCTCTTGGGGCTTGGGGAGTAGTCGCATTGTACATGGGAATGACCGTAGGATGCTGCGCATCACTATAGATTTTGGGTAATGATTATACTATTGTTATGAATACATTATCTTGGTGTGATGCCTTTGTTGAAGTATAGACTAATGATATTAACCATTCAATCAAGTGGGAGAATGTTAGAAAATCAAATGATTAAATGGTTAATATATTAATTACTATAAGCTAAAGTGGGATCATTAGTTAATTATGGGATTAACACTAATTAATGGTAATTAGCAATTTGTGCCTGTGATTGGGGGCTTACGATTATGGTTAGGTCCCACGTCATATACAACGCTATATATAAAGAAGGGCATCCCTGCACCTATTTGATCGCGGTGTCTCTTAGGATACCAGTGCCCTCCGATAACTACTCCAAATCCAATCAGGAGCGCGCTGGATGTTGACGTGAAGGCTTGGCCTTACTCCAACGAGGTTTCGGAGTTGTGATCGACTACGTTGCTGCAATTCATCACCAATATCAGACTACTCCCTCCACCAAGATGGCCTCTTCAAACGAAGGTATAATCACTCTACTATCCACTAATTTCCGCATCAAATCAAATAATGTTCATGTGTATTAAATAAGATCTGATTAACAGTTGCATGATCTCAGCAATTAAATCTAGCAACGAGAGCGCGACGAAAATCCCCATAGAGAGCTAGAGTTGGTCATGCCTGCGGACCACGCCTCATGGACCCTAGAGAGAGCCCGACCGGGTGTGGGCATCTGCGCCGATTGGGCGGCGCGGTACGCGCCAGGGAGTCAACCACGGGAGGCCCTCAAGCAACAAACGGCGTGGAGGGCGCTCTCGCTCGCGGAGGCTCCCATGAGGCGGTTGACTGGCACTAGCGACGCAACCCGACAGGGGGCGGCACACACTACTATGGCCCCGGTCGCGCCCACGGCCCACCCATCATGGACCCCAGGGAAGTTGTCCGGATGCGGGGCGCGCAGGCAAATCGGATGGCCGGGGGATCTTCAGGGAGCTAGCCACGGGAGGCCCTTGCGCAACGGACGACGCGAGTGGCCTCCTCGTTTGCGGAGGCTCGGAGGAGGAGGCTCTCGGAAAGCGGGTACTCCACCATTTTTTATAGAAGTAATGAGATCGAAAATGTTGAATGGAGCTCGACCTCCACGAAGGCCGAATTTGAAATGATCAAACTACATATTTGTACATTTTATTTTTCATTTTTTTAAACAAATACACATATATTTAGAGATGCAATGCACAAGTGTGTAAATTTCCAGGACCATGTACGTTAAATGAGTGCTAAAAAATATGTGGCATTTCAGTAAATGCACTATTCATACTCAAAGTTCATGATTATTTTTTTCACAGCTCACATTTTAAGGTATTTCATTCTGAAATTTTACCCATATACACATCACATCCTTGTATGCTTGTACAATTATTTTAAAAAGAGTTAAACTGAGAAGTTTGAGTTTTAAAATTTTCAAAAATTCTGGCCTTCATGGAGACCGAGCTCCAAAATGCTCTACTCTAATGAGACTCGTATTACCAGATATACAAATATAAACATATACATGTTGTGATGTACCACAATACCCCTACCGCTCACCAACCAACCGTATATTTCACCACCACGAACAGAGCACAATCGCCCCCCTCGCGGCACTATATAAATTCCGGCGTGCCCGCGCACAGAAGCAGGCTCGACTCAACCCAAAAGCACATAGCTAGACTCGCGCAGCGGCTCGAACTCGTAGAAGCAAGCGCAGCTCACAGGCACTACCCAGCTCCGAGGCGAGGCGAGGCGAGGAGAACCAAGATGGAGTCATTGCTGGCAGCTGTGGCTGCCGGGGTGGAGCCGTTCCCGTCGGTGGACAAATGCGACGCGTCGGGACGCGGCTCGCACGCCGTGGCAGCCGACCTCGACGGGACGCTGCTGCGGTCTCGCAGCCCGTTCCCCTACTACGCGCTGGTGGCGTTCGAGACCGGCGGGTGGCCGCGGCTCCTGCTCCTGCTTCTCCTCGCGCCGTTAGCCACCCTGCTGGGGATCGCCGTATCGGAGGCTGCGGCTGTCCGAGTGCTCGTTTTCGCGGCCACGGCGGGAGCGCGGGTGTCGTCGATCGAGTCCGCGGCGCAGGCCGTGCTGCCGCGGTTCTACGCCGCGGACGTGCACCCGGGCGCGTGGCGGGTGTTCTCGGCGTGTTCCAGGCGCCGCGTCGTGCTCACCTCCACGCCGCGGATCATGGCGGAGCCGTTCCTGAGGGAGTGCCTCGGAGCCGACGCCGTGGCAGGCACCGAGCTCGCCACGTGGCGCGGCCGCGCCACTGGGATGGTGCAGACGCGCCGAGGCGTGCTCGTCGGGCGACGCAAGGCCGAGGCGCTGCATGAGATATTTGGCGAGGATGGCGACGTGCCGGACGTCGGCCTCGGCGACCGCCGGTCCGATTACCCCTTCATGTGCCAATGCAAGGTTAGCCCCTAGCCGGTAATTATATCTCTTAATTACTCCTTCTATATCCATAGTGTAATTCTTCGTAGCATCCCCACTACTAGTATCAGAAATTCAGAATCAACTTTGGATGGTTTAGCAATTAGCATGCAAGGAGTGGACGTAGTACATGTACTGTACAGTACGTTCACTGCCTAAGTGGTTAATTAATGTTTGAGAAAAACTCCACAATGCAAATTCGTTGCCGCGTTTGAAACAGAGTTGCAATTTTAAGGCGCATATGGTACATACATTGGCGTCATGCCTGCGTCTCTGCCATACTAAAGTGCGAAGCGAGTCCATGCTGTACGCATCACGCATGTGTGGTAGGGGTATACGGTGTCAGGTTCAGCTCTATTATATGCATGTGCAATATTAAGTTCTAGACTGTTGGTACAAAATGGCCCACACTGCCGTACTACGTAGAAACTACTTGTTGATTTGCTTGCTGCATAACAAAGTGGCTCAAAAGTTTAAAAACTAGTGGCCTTCCAATCACCGTAAAACTACTCATTCTTGATCACACCGTGCCAAATGCGTAGCTCGAGCGTGGATTAAGGTAAGGTGATCATCGATTACAACTGAGCCTAGGTTAGGCTCAAAATTAGTTACTTATCAACTATCCCTATTGTGCACTAACAGATGCACTAAGATTACACGCAAACAGTATGGTTGGTTGGATCACATCTTGGCTCCCATGCCCGCTGTTATGAGCGTGCTGGTGAAGGACCCGACACGGCTTTGCTTGCCCCTACCTACGCGCTACGCAACATTGATTGATTAAAGAAAAGCTCCGGCAGCATCAATTACATTTACACGGCCAGCGTACCTGGTAGGTTGGTAGGTAAGTCCGTAAGTGGTGGTTTTGATTTACTACTCCTGTAGTAGTACTACCAGTAATAACTTTATTGTTCAAAAATAAAAGGTAGAAGAAAATTAAAGATTGTACGTAGATAATAAGTAAGAACAAGATACAGTTAGGACACACACACGGTCAGCGCTTGGTGCACCTAGTTGGATAGAACAAAGTTAAATCTAAAGACTGGTAGATAGTGCATGCCCACAAGTTACAACATCATATCATATTTAACGGCAGCATACGACACGAAATACCTTTCCTACGGGATAGGAAGAAAATATTAGTCACGAGATAGCTAAGTACTACCCACTGCGATTCAAAATAAGTGTCGCACTTTTAAACTGGTTTTAGTTCAAAACTGCGACATTTATTATGAAATCAGAGGTGATACGTGTTTGGTGTTTGGTGTTAAAGCCAAAATAGCTATACGGCCGGACAGACATGAACCATGATGGCGTCCTAGTTGCACGTGATTAATGCATTTTAGTGTGCACTGCACGAGTCTTTAACAGTACAGTGATCTTGAGCGTCTCTTTAATTGTGGAATTGATGAACATGGTGGGGGGCTTTGCTCCCGTGTGTGGCAGGAAGCGTACATCGTACCGTCGGCGCCGGTGGAGGCCGTTAGCATGGACCAGCTGCGGAGGCAGGTCATCTTCCACGACGGCCGCCTGGCGCTCCGCCCGACGCCGCTGGCCGCGCTGCTGACCGTGCTGTGGTGCCCGGCGGGCTTCGTCCTCGCGTGCCTCCGCATCGCCGCGGGGGCGCTGCTGCCCATGCCCTGGGTCTACTACGCGTTCTGGGCGCTCGGCGTGCGCGTCGTGGTCAAGGGCAGCCCGCCCCCGCGCGCCGGGAGCACGGCGGGCCGCACTGGGGTGCTCTTCGCCTGCTCGCACCGCACGCTGCTGGACCCCATTTTCCTCTCGGCGGCGCTCGGCCGGCCCGTGGCGGCCGTCACCTACTCACTGTCAAGGCTGTCTGAGATACTCTCGCCGATCCGGACCGTACGCCTGAGCCGTAACCGCGTCACCGACGCCGCCATGATCACGAGGCTCCTGCAGGAGGGTGACCTCGCCATCTGCCCCGAGGGGACGACGTCCCGAGAGCCGTTCCTGCTCCGGTTCTCGGCGCTCTTCGCGGAGCTCACCGACGAGGTGGTCCCTGTGGCGATGGAGAGCCGGATGGGCATGTTCCACGGCACCACGGCGAGGGGGTGGAAGGGGATGGACCCCTTCTACTTCTTCATGAACCCCAGCCCGGTGTACACCGTCACGTTCCTGAGCAAGCTGCCGTCGGAGCTCACCTGCAGCAGCGGCGGCAGGCCCAGCCACGAGGTGGCCAACTACATCCAGAGGCTCATCGCTGCCACGCTCTCCTACCAGTGCACCAGCCTCACCAGGAAGGACAAGTACCGGGCCCTCGCCGGCAACGACGGCATCGTGGACGTCAAGCCGATGAACAAGGCACGCTAGCTAAATGAATGTGATTGCCCCGTGGCTAATTCTGGCGTTTTACCATATCCATATTTAATTATTTGATTTGCTTGTGTGGGTGGATGTGCATATTGCTGAAATCTGAGATGGGCTCTAGGCCCATGTTGCAATTTCTGAAAAATCTCTAAGGGCCCATGTGGATTATATGGCACTAGGTGAAGTGGGAAGTTTAGTCCCACCTCGAAAGTGGAAGGAGAGTTCCCTTCAAAAAAAAGGAAGTGGAAGGAGAGTTGGAGTGATTTATAAGGATTTCTCTTCTACATGCTATTGGAGCTTGAGAAGAGAAGAGGCCCTCGCGCACTCCTCCGTCGCCCGCCTCGCCACGCCACGCCTCGCCTCGTCACGACGCGCCGCGCCGCGGGTTGCGGGATTGAGCCGAGCCGAGCTCACACCTACGCGCTTATTTTTGCCAGTCACTAACGGAGAATTTTCTGACGGCTGGGCCACGATCTGAGACGTCGGATCGTGGGCTGTCACGGACTCGGACGTGGGTCGAGCCCACGTCTCTCCACGCGGCTGCGCCTATAAGCATGTGGTGTCTCCTAACCCTAGCCACCACGAACAGATCACATCTGCTCACGCGTCCGCCCACCGTCGTTCCTTTGCTGCTGCTGCCACCGGTGACTCCATCCCATCCGCCGCGTACACGGTCGACGGGAGAGCAGATCTCCGAAACCACGCCCTTCTGGTTCCTGTACGGGGTGAGGGGCGAATAGGTTTTTGGGCAGCGATTACGCGACTACTCGCTTCCGATCGTCTACTTCCTCTACGTCCGTGTCGCCTTCATTATCACCATGTCCACCAACGCCGACCGTGCCGCCGCCAAGAAAGCTGAAGCCGACAAGAAGGCCGCCGAGGACGCCGCTGCTGCCACCAAAGCCGCGGCCTCTGCGTGGCCTACTGGAGGGTATAACTCGTTTATCCCGCTCCTGATTATTTTCATATTAGCAGTACTAGCAGTATGTGTAGATTTGTCTACTGTTTGCTTAGTACGTGCATGTTTAGATCAGAGTCAGTACGTCATCAACTTAGTCAATGCCATGCTAGTGATTTACTCATGGATTAATTTAATTGAGAAATTGCCTATTATGTGTAGGAATTTCTCGGCAAGTGGCTTTGCCGCTGCACTGAAACCCGGATAAGTTTACCGGTACATACTTCAAGCGTTGGCAGACTAAGACCACGTTATGGCTCACGGCTATGAACGTGTTCTGGGTCACCGGTGTCTCCACGGGAACGATTGCTCCTGAACAGGAGAAGGCGTTCAAGGAGGCTACCGTTGTGTTTCTCGGAGCAGTTCTTAGCGTGATCGGAGATAAACTGGTCGACGCATATTTACATGTGCATGTCGCCAAGGACTTGTGGGAGGCGCTCGAATCTAAATTCGGGGCCGCCGATGCAGGGAGCGAGATGTATATTATAGAGCAGTTCCACGATTACAAGATGGTTGAAAACCGTCCTGTATTGGAGCAGGCTCATGAGATAATATGCAGTGTTAAGGAACTTGAGCTTCTCAAGTGCGAGTTACCGGGCAAGTTTGTCGCGGGCTGCATAATCGCTAAGCTCCCTAATTCCTAGAGGAACTTTGCCACCACTCTGAAACATCAGAGGCGTGAATTCTCTATGGAGGATGTCATTGGCCATCTGAGTGTTGAGCAGAATTCGACGGCAAAAGACTCACACGGAAAAGGGGCCGAAGGGACTTCTATTGCCAACATGGTGAACCAGAAGAACTTCAACTCCCACAAGCCCAAGGGAAAGAACGGTGTCCAACACAACACCGACTTTAAGAAGAAGGGTAAGAAGACCTTCAAGAAGAACAAGAAGGACGAGGGCTGCTTTACTTGTGGTTCGGTTGAACATTGGGCCAATAAGTGCCCAAACAAGTACAAGAAGTCAGGACAGGACTCCAAGTCTGTCAACATGATTGTGGCCAACAATGAGAATGGTGCATCTGGGTACGGTAATTTATTTACTGTTTTTTCAGTGTTTCAACCCAACGATTGGTGGGTGGACACAGGTGCAGGTGTTCATGTGTGTGCTGACATTTCATTGTTCACTTCTTACCAAGTCACAGGTCACGGGTCCGTATTGATGGGGAATGGCGCGAGTACTTCTGTTCATGGTGTTGGCACGGTCGATCTGAAGTTTACTTCGGGAAGGATCGTGCAGCTGAAGAACATGCAGCATGTCCCCGCCATCAAGAAGAACCTCGTTAGTGGCTCCCTTCTATGTAGAGAAGGGTTTAAGTTGGTTTTCGAGTCTAATAAATTAGTTGTTACAAAATATGGACTCTTTGTTGGAAAAGGTTATGAGAGCGGAGGGATGTTCCGCCTTTCCCTCGCAGATTTTTGTAATAAAGTCGTGAACCATATTCACTCGAATGTTAATGAATCTGAAGTTTGACATTCACGTCTTTGTCACATTAGTTTTGGTGTTATGACGCGGCTAGCCAAGTTGGATTTAATCCCGAGTTTCACTTTAGCCAAAGGTTCTAAGTGCATTTCATGTGTGCAAGCTAAGCAACCTCGCAAGCCTCATAAGGCCGCGGAGGAGAGACACCTGGCACCATTAGAACTCATACATTCTGATCTTTGCGAGATGAATGGTGTGTTGACTAAAGGTGGAAAGAGATACTTCATGACATTGATAGATGATTCCACTAGATATTGCTATGTGTATCTGTTAAATACTAAAGATGAGGCTCTATACTACTTTAAAATCTATAAGGCAGAAGTTGAAAATCAACTTGAAAAGAAAATTAAACGAGTCCGGTCAGATCGTGGTGGAGAGTACTTCTCCAGTGAGTTTGATTCCTTCTGTGCGGAACACGGCATTATTCACGAGAGGACGCCTCCCTATTCACCCCAATCAAACGGGGTTGTCGAGCGGAAAAACCGTACTCTAACTGATTTGGTTAACGCCATGTTAGATACATCGGGTTTATCCAAGGCATGGTGGGGGAGGCTATATTGACGGCATGTCATGTCCTGAATAAAGTTCCGACAAAGGATAATGAGATCACTCCCTATGAGAAATGGGCAAAGAGAAGGACGACACTCTCGTACTTGCGCACTTGGGGCTGTTTGGCGAAAGTCAACGTGCCGATCCCCAAAAAGCGTAAGCTTGGACCCAAGACTGTGGACTGCGTTAATTTGGGCTACGCTAAGAACAGCGTTGGCTATAAATTTCTAGTAGTGAAATCTGAGGTACCTGACCAGAAGGTCGGTACAATTATGGAGTCTAAGGATGCTACATTCTTTAAGGATATTTTTCCTATGAGAGATATGCAAAGCACTTCTAGACAGGAATCTGAGGAAACTCCTGAACCTGCCGTCCCTATGGAATATTATGAACAAACACATGATGAAAATCCTGAGGAGGATGACGAGGAAACCCTTGGTAGGGGCAAGAGACAAAGGACTGCAAAGACCTTTGGTGATGATTTCTTCGTGTACCTCATGGATGATACTCCCACTTCTATTTCTGAAGCGTATGCCTCTCCAGAAGCTGACTACTGGAAGGATGCGGTCCGTAGCGAGATGGATTCCATCATGGCTAACGGGACATGGGAGATCACTGACCGTCCCTATGGTTGCAAACCACTGGGATGTAAGTGGGTGTTCAAAAAGAAGCTTAGGCCCGATGGTACGATTGAAAAGTACAAGGCTAGGCTTGTGGCCAAGGGTTATGACCAGCAAGAAGAGGAAGATTTCTTTGATACTTATTCACCTGTGGCTAGACTGACCACCATTCGAGTATTACTCTCGTTGGCGGTCTCACATGGTCTTCTCGTCCATCAGATGGATGTTAAGACGGCTTTTCTAAATGGAGAGCTAAAGGAGGAAATCTACATGCAACAGCCTGATGGCTTTGTGATAGATGGTCAGGAAAGAAAGGTGTGTAGGTTGATAAAATCTTTATATGGCCTGAAACAAGCACCTAAGCAATGGCATGATAAGTTTAATACAACTCTGACATCTGTTGGTTTCGTTGTTAATGAGGCTGACAAATGTGTATACTATCGCAATGGTGGGGGCGAAGGAGTTATACTGTGCTTGTATGTTGATGACATACTGATATTCGGAACAAACCTCAAAGTCATTGAGGAGGTCAAATCGTTTCTATCTCAGAACTTTGAGATGAAAGACCTTGGTGTGGCTGATGTTATCTTGAACATCAAGCTACTGAGAGATAATGAGGGTGGAATCACACTTCTGCAATCCCATTACGTTGAGAAGGTGTTGAGTCGTTTTGGATATTCGGACTGCACACCATCTCAAACACCATATGATCCTAGCGTATTGATTCGAAAGTCCAAAGGCATGGCTAAAGATCAATTGAGATACTCTCAAATCATTGGTTCACTGATGTACCTAGCGAGCGCAACGAGGCCTGACATCGCGTTTGCTGTGAGCAAACTGAGCCGGTTTGTTTCCAAACCGGGTGATGTACATTGGCATGCTGTTGAGAGAGTTATGCGCTATCTGAAAGGTACTATGAACTATGGACTTCACTATACCGGATACCCGTCGGTACTTGAAGGGTATAGTGATGCGAATTGGATCTCTGATGCTGATGAGATGAAGGCCACAACTGGGTATATGTTTACTCTTGGAGGTGGCGTTGTTTCCTGGAAGTCTTGCAAGCAAACGATCTTAATGAGATCGACAATGGAAGCAGAATTAACAGCATTAGACACATCTGGTGTTGAAGCGAGATGGCTTCGAGATCTTTTAATGGACTTGCCATTGGTTGATAAACCGGTTCCGGCTATCCTTATGAACTGTGATAATCAGACTGTCATCACCAAGGTGAAGAGTTCAAAGGACAACATGAAGTCCACCAAACACATAAGAATGAGATTAAAAGCTGTCAGAAAATTAAGAAACTCCGGAGTGATAGCGTTGGACTATGTCCATACGGCTAAGAATCTGGCAGATCCCTTTACAAAAGGGCTATCACGTGTTGTGATAGATAATGCATCGAGGGAGATGGGTATGAGACCCACATGAGTTGCCATGGTGGTAACCCAACCTATGTGATCGGAGATTCCGGGAACTAGGACCTGGGAAAACAAGCCAGTGGTGAACTGAGGAGAGTAACTATACTAACCCACTCCGTTGGAGATGCAATACTCTTGATACTGTATGGTAGGATGACTACGGTCTCAATGTATTCCAAAGCTTATAAAAGCAAGATGCTATCCTACAGAGCGATCTTTGGAGGAACACACCTA